AGCAAATGATTTTAAATCATTTTGCTTTAGCTCATTTTTGTGAAATTTTTCAATATTGTTAATCCTGATTGAGAAGATTTTTCCGGATGAAATTGAACAGCCATTATATTGTCTAATGAAATAGCTACAGTAAAATTCAAATTACCATATTTAACAAAGGCACTTTCAATATTTTTATTGTCTAAACATACATAATAAGAATGAATAAAATAAAACCATAAGTTAGTATTAAAATCTACCCATAATGGAGATTTTTCATTGGTAATTTGTATAGAATTCCAGCCAATATGAGGTATATTTCTTACTAAATGTTTATCAAATTTTTTGACTTTACCTTGTATAATTCCTAATCCTTCTAACTTACCTTCCTCGCTATTTTGCATTAGTAATTGAAAACCTAAACATATACCTAGAAAAGGCATACCATTTTTAATATAAGTTTTTAATGGTTCGATAAAATTTTTCTTCTGTAATGAATGAATAGCTGAATCAAAAGAACCTACTCCTGGTAATATTATTTTAGAAATAGTTTTTAACTCTTCTGGATTAGAAATGATTTTAGGTACAGCATTCACCTGCTCTATTGCTTTACACACAGAATACAAATTACTCATTTGATAATCTATAATACCAATTAATTTCATTTTTAAGTTAGTTTTTATAGTTTTTATATTATTAATAGCTAATCACCAACTAGCCTTTCTAACTCCAGGTAATAAACAGTTATGTGCCATTTCTCTAAATGCATGCCTTGATAAACCAAAGTCTCTATATACTGATCTACTTCTATGTGTTAACCAACAACGATTCCTATGTCTAGATTCTGCACTATTTCTAGGTAAGTTTTGAAGCTTAATGCTTAATTCTAATTTTTTATCATATGAATTTGTTTTTTTTATTTGTTCTTTAAGTTGTATACGTTGATTTTTATATTTTTTTATTTGTTTTTCTCTTTTTATTGATCTTGTAATTGCACTTTTCTTAGCCATATAATTTGATAATTCTTTTTTGTAAAAAATAATTTATAAAATAAATTATATAGAATAAAAAAGAAAATAAAGTAAATCATTTTGATTTACTTTATTTTCTTTTTTATTCTATATAATTTAAAATTAACCAAACTTGCCAACAGTCGATGCTATAACAAATGGAGCATAAGTTAAGATATATCCTACAGCAAAATGTGCTAATCCTACCAAGCGTGCTTGAACGATAGATAACGCTACAGGTTTATCTTTCCATTTTATCAAATTTGCTAATGGAGTTCTTTCGTGAGCCCAAGCTAAAGTTTCAATTAATTCTTGCCAATAACCTCTCCAAGAAATCAAAAACATGAAACCTGTTGCCCATACCAAGTGACCAAACAAAAACATCCAAGCCCAAACAGATAAATTATTAACGCCATAAGGATTATAACCATTAATTAATGGCGATGAATTAAGCCATAGGTAATCCCTAAACCAACCCATTAGATATGTTGAAGACTCATTAAATTGATTAACATTGCCACCCCATAATGTCAAGTGTTTCCAATGCCAATAAAATGTTAGCCATCCTAATGTATTCAACATCCAAAACATTGCCAAATAAAAAGCATCCCATGCAGATATATCACAAGTTCCACCTCTTCCTGGTCCATCGCATGGAAAACTATATCCAAAATCTTTTTTATCTGGCATCAGTTTTGAGCCTCTAGCATCCAAGGCTCCTTTAACTAAAATTAAAGTTGTGGTATGTAAACCTAGAGCTATTGCATGATGAACTAAGAAATCTCCAGGTCCTATATCTAAAAATAGTGAATTATTAGTATCATTAACACCTTTTAACCAGCCGGGTAACCATAAACTTTCACCTGCTCTTGTGGCTACACTATCAGAAGAAGACAACAAAATATTAAATCCATATAATGCTTTGCCTGATGCTGCTTGTATCCATTGTGCAAATACCGGTTCAATAAGGATCTGTTTTTCGGGAGAACCAAATGCGACTACTACATCATTATGAACATATATTCCTAATGTATGAAAACCCAAAAATAAACTTACCCAACTTAAATGAGATATTATTGCTTCTTTATGTTCTAACATCCGAGCAAGCACATTATTTTTGTTTTGTTCAGGATTATAATCTCTAATAAAAAATATTGCGCCATGTGCGAATGCACCAACCATTAAAAATCCTGCTATATACTGATGATGAGTATATAAAGCCGCTTGGGTTGTAAAATCATTAGCAATAAATACATAAGAAGGCATAGCATACATATGTTGTGCCACAAGAGAAGTAATTACTCCTAAAGAAGCTAATGCTAATCCTAATTGAAAATGCAAGGAATTATTAATAGTTTCAAATAGACCTTTATGACCATCACCTAATCTACCACCTGGGGCTCTATGAGCATCTAAGATCTCTTTTAGACTATGTCCAATACTCCAGTTAGTTCTATACATATGACCAGCGATTATAAAAATCACTGCTATAGCTAAGTGATGATGCGCAATATCTGTTAACCATAAAGATTTTGTTTGTGGGTGAAACCCACCTAGGAATGTTAAGATGGCTTTTCCTGCACCTTCACTTGTATTAAATACATGATTCATACTATCTGGACCATCTGCGTACACTGACCATTGCCCCTTAAAAAAAGGTTCTAGCCCAGCTGGATGTGGTTTAGTAGATAAGAAATTATCCCAACCAACATGCTGACCTCTTGCCTCAGGAATTGCCACATGAACTAAATGTCCTGCCCATGCTAATGAACTAACACCAAATAAACCTGCTAAATGATGATTCAAACGTGACTCATTATTTTTAAACCATGCTAAACTAGGTTTAAATTTAGGCTGTAAATGTAGCCAACCTGCAAATAAAAATAACCCTGATATCACTAAAAGGAATAATGCTCCCAAATATAGGTCATTATTAGTTCTTATACCAATAGTATACCACCAATGATATAATCCTGAATAACTTATATTTGTTGGATAGTCAACTCCTGTTTGTGAAAAAGCCTTCAATGCGGCTTGACCAAAGTGCGGATCCCAAATCGCATGTGCAATAGGTTTTATCTTAGTAGGATTAAGTATCCATTTTTCAAAATTACCTTGCCATGCTACGTGAAATAAATTACCTGATGTCCATAAAAATATAATAGCTAAATGACCAAAATGGGAAGCAAAAATTCTTTGATATAGATTTTCTTCTGTAATATTATCATGACTTTCAAAATCATGAGCAGTTGCTATTCCATACCATATTCTTCTTGTAGTAGGATCTTGTGCTAAAGCTTGACTAAATTTAGGAAATTTTGTTACCATATATTATTTATCCTCATACTTATAACATATCATGATATAAGATAATTATACATTATCCAATTGCAATTATTCTTGCTAGAAAAAATGCCCAAGTAGTTGCTATACCGCCAAGTAAATAATGAGCTACCCCAACTGCTCTGCCTTGAGTAATACTTAAGGCACGTGGTTGTATTGATGGAGCAACTTTTAATTTATTATGCGCCCATACAATAGATTCAATTAACTCTTGCCAATAACCTCTGCCACTAAATAAAAACATTAAACTAAATGCCCACACAAAATGAGCACCTAAGAACATTAAACCATAAGCAGATGAGGATGAACCATAGGATTGAATTACTTGTGAGGCTTGGGCCCATAGAAAATCCCTTAACCACCCATTAATAGTAATAGCGCTCTGAGCAAAATTTCCTCTTGTTATATGTGATATATCTCCTGATGAGGAAATAGTTCCCCAAACATCTGATTGCATTTTCCAACTAAAATGAAATATTACAATAGATAAACTGTTATACATCCAAAATAGTCCTAAAAAAACATGATCCCATCCAGAAACTTGGCAAGTTCCACCTCTTCCTGGTCCATCGCATGGAAATCTAAATCCTAAATTAGCCTTATCCGGTATTAATCTAGAATTACGAGCAAATAAAACTCCTTTTAATAATATTAAAGCTGTTACATGAATTGTAAAAGCATGAATATGATGCACCATAAAATCTGCTGTTCCAAGAGACATAGGCATTATAGCAATTTTATTTCCGACCGATATAATATCTCCTCCAAAAACATAACTAGTTGTAGCTAAAACATTTGGTGCTGTATTACCTGGTGCAATTGAATGACAATTCTGTATCCATTGTGCAAAAATAGGTTGCAGTTGAATAGCTACATCTGAAAACATATCTTGTGGTCTTCCTAGTGCTCTCATGGTATCATTATGTATGTATAAGCCAAAACTATGAAAACCTAGAAAAATACAGACCCAGTTCAGATGAGAAATTATTGCATCTCTATGTCTTATTACTCTATCTAACAAATTATTATAATTTTGCGCAGGACTATAGTCTCTTACCATAAATATAGCTGCGTGAGCACCTGCTCCAACAATACAGAACCCACCAATCCACATATGGTGTGTAAAAAGAGATAACTGAGTTGGATAGTCTGTAGCTAAATACGGATAAGGTGGCATAGCATACATATGATGTGCTACTATAATACTTAACGATCCTAACATTGCTAAATTAATGGCAAGCTGCGCATGCCAAGATGTTGTAAGTATTTCAAATAATCCTCTATGTCCTTCACCTGTAAAAGGTCCTTTATGGGCATCTAAGATTTCTTTTAGACTATGTCCAATGCTCCAGTTAGTTCTATACATATGACCAGCGATTATAAAAATCACTGCTATAGCTAAGTGATGATGTGCAATATCTGTTAACCATAAACCTCCTGTTACCGGATTTAAACCTCCTTTAAATGTTAGAAAATCATTATATTCATTCCAATTTAAAGTAAAGAAAGGTAACAAACCCTTATTAAAGCTTGGATATAACTCTGACATTAAATTTCGGTTCAAAATAAATTCATGAGGGAGTGGTATTTGAGCTGGCACAATACCTGAATCAAGTAATTTATTGAATTGGTAAAGAAACATGAATCAAGTGCCCTGTCCACCCAAGTGAACCCAAACCTAATAAGCCTGCTAAATGATGATTTAACATTGATTCAACATTTTGAAACCATTCCAATTTAGGCGCAGCCTTATGATAATGAAACCAACCTGCAAAAAGCATTAAGCTGGCCATAAACAATCCACCTATTGCAGTTACATATAGTTGCATTTCATTAGTAATTCCTGATGCTCGCCATAATTGAAAGAGTCCAGAAGTAATTTGAATTCCTTGGAATCCTCCACCAACATCAGCATTTAAAATTTCCTGACCTATAATAGGCCAAACAACCTGTGCACTTGGTTTTATGTTAATAGGATTATTGAGCCAAGCTACATAATTAGAAAATTTGGCACCATGAAAGTACATACCACTTAACCATATAAAAATTACCGCTAATTGACCAAAATGAGCGCTAAAAATTTTACGAGATATCTCTTCTAAAGAATTTGTATGACTATCAAAATCATGAGCATCTGCATGTAGATTCCAGATCCATGTAGTAGTTTTAGGACCTTTAGCTAAACTACGAGAAAAATGTCCCGGTTTTGACCATTTTTCGAAATTAGTAGGGACAACATTTCTATCTATCAGAACTTTTGCCTTTTTTTCTTCTTGCTCTCTTGAGCTTATTGTCATAATACTTCTCCTATTTTGAGAAAAATCACTAACAAATAATAAATAAAAACTCATTTAAGTTTTTATTTATTATTTATTATATAAAAATATACAATAAATTTATTTTTTCTTTACAATAGTTAATTTTCTTACAGAGTTTATAAAGATGAGACTTGCATTATGATATCACCAATTGATATTTCATCACCATCTTTAAATAAAATTTTCTCAATCTTTCCTCTTTGATTTGCCTTTATTTGGTTCATTACTTTCATTGTCTCAATTATACAAACTATGGTGTTATGCTCTACTATAGAACCTATTTTAACAAATGGCTCTGCTCCAGGCATCGGTGAAGAATAAAAAATACCTGGCAAAGGACTAGTAATATCAATGTATTCATAATATTTATCTGGTTTCTTATTAACTAAATTTTCTTGTTTTCTCTTTTCTGACAAATTATTTTTATTTTCTTTTAGTGGTATGTTCAATTCATTTTTTGTTATTAATTTTTTATCATTATTATTTAGGACAGTTGTATATAAGTCATGCTTACTTAAAGTTTGTGAATAAGGAAATGTTGAATAATAAATGTTAAAATTAATATTAAAATTATGATAAAGCAAAGATTCATTTTTATGTGAACTTATTTCATAAGTTTTTGTTTTAATGTGATAGAAGTCTAAATTTAGTTCTTGTAATAAAAACAGTATTTTTTTTATATTGACACTCATATAATCTTAATGTATTTTATAGTTTGAATAATTATTTATTTAATAATTTTTAATTCATCCTCAAAAAACCATATTCTTACTTGCGAATCAAACTCAACTATCAAAACTATAATATTAGACTCTGTCAATCTTAATCCTCTTACAATACCAATTTTACCTATTTTATCTGTTAATTCAAATGTATTCGGATTCCTAAGTTTATACAAATAAACTTTTTGTCCAATAAAAGATAATTTATTTAAAGAATATGACGAAACAAAGTTATTCATTAAATTACAATAAATTTAATAATTAGATAATTATAAATAAATTAATATATCAATTAAAAATAAAATGATTATTTCAGATGATTTAGAAAAACTTCTTAAAATTTTACCAATAGAGATTAGCAAAACTATAGAAAAATATCCTAATAAAAATCAGCTAATAGAAATAGTAATGGATTTAGGAAAAAAACCTGAGGCAAGATTTTCTGACCATGTTTATTATATATCAAATAAAAATATCAATTGGCAAGATATTAACTATTGTATAAGAAGACTAGGAAAATTCAATGTAGACAATAGAACTGGTATCAAAAATACCTTACACAGAATAAGTTCTATCAATAATAGAGAAGGGCAAGTTGTTGGCTTGACTTATCGCGTAGGACGAGCAGTATTAGGCAATATTAACATAATTCGTGATTTATTAGAAATAGGTCACTCTATTTTAATATTGGGGAAACCAGGTGTCGGTAAAACAACTGCTATAAGAGAAATAGCAAGAATTTTAGCTGATGAGATTGGTAAACGGGTAATTATTATTGATACTTCTAATGAAATTGCAGGTGATAGTGATATAGGGCATTTTTCAATTGGCAGAGCACGTAGAATGCAAGTAAAACATCCTCAATTACAACATCAAGTAATGATTGAAGCGATAGAAAATCATATGCCAGAAGTGATCATTATTGATGAAATTAGTACTGAATTAGAAGCAATTGCTGCTAGAACAATCGCTGAAAGAGGTGTTCAATTAATTGGTACTGCTCACGGAAATAGTTTAGAAAATTTAATTCGTAATTTTACTTTGTCTGATTTAATTGGTGGAATTCAATATGTTACATTAGGAGATGAAGAAGCTCGTAAAAGAGGAACTCAAAAAAGTATTTTAGAAAGAAAATCATTTCCAACTTTTAATATTGTTATTGAAATTCATCAACTTTATTCTTGGAGAATTCATCAGGATGTTGAACAAAATGTGGATAGGATCTTACAAGGATCTAGACCTATTTTACAAGATAGATTTATTAGTTTAGATAATAAACATATTATTAAATATTCTCAATATAATAATAATGAAATTATAAATAGTAATAAATCTAAATTACATTCTATTAAAGAACATTCCAATCATTTGTTGCATGAACTAGTTAATAAAAATATGAATATAAATCATAAAATCTATCTATATTTGCATTCATTAAGTTATAAAGAAACACAATCTTGTATAGATAATATGCAATTACCGATAATATTAACAAAAAGCTTAGATAATGCTAATGCCATTTTAGGATTAAGAATACAGACAAAAAACACTCCTAAATTGAGAGAAATAGCTAAAAATAAGAAAATTCCTATATATGTGATTAGTAATGAGACTATACCACAATTAATAAAAGTATTAAAGAATATAATTAATTCTTACGATTTTAAAAAAGTTTATAAAAATACACACATTTTTGATTCTTTAAAAGAAATGAGAATGGCTATTCTTAATATAGTGCTTTCTAAAAATCAAACGGTGGAATTACTACCTAGAATTGCTTATATAAGAAAGTACCAACATATACTTGCTGGATACTTTAATCTGTATGCAATAAGTGTTGGTAAAGAGCCATTTCGACGTTTACGTATTTATCCTAGATCTTTAGCATAGTTTTTGACACTAATATTAATTTATATTAAATTAATATTAATCTAATTTTTATTAGTGTTATATTATTAATATAATATACCAATATAAGGAAAATAAATTATGAATAAAACTTTAACAGAAGAAGAAGTACTTGACAAAATTCGTGAAGTTGTTGCGACACAATTAGGAATTGATGAAACTCAAGTTTTGGATGATGCTAGTTTTACTAATGATTTAGGAGCTGATTCTTTGGATTCTGTTGAACTTGTAATGTCAATTGAACATGAATTTGGTATAAAAATTCCTGATGAGAGAGCAAATAAAATCTCTAATATTAAACAATTAAAAGACTTTGTAATGGAAAAGTTAAGTGTCAAAGTGTGACTTAATTTAATAGATTTTTAAATAAAGGAATTTGTTATGAATAAATCAGATTTAAGTGATGAATTAGCTAAAAGAGCAAAAATTACAAAAAAATTAGCAAATCAAGTTATAACATTGTTTACAGATATTGTAAGGGAAAAAGTGAATGATGGAGAGAAGGTGACCATAGTAGGATTCGGCACTTTTAAAGCAAAATATAGAAAACCAAAGGCTGTTAGAAATCCTAGAACTGAAAAAAGAATGGTTATTCCAGCTTCAAGAGTACCTGTGTTTACAGTTGGTAAGCTTTTTAAAGAAGAAGTAAATAATAAATTTTTACATAATCAAAATGAACTAAGAGAGCAAGAAAAAATAGAATAAAACAATAGTTATATTGATATTTTGATAATAGAATAAAATAATGTTCTATTATCAAAATATCAAATAATATTATTATCCTCCTAAATTTTACTAAGATTTGTTTTATATTATTCAATATAATTATTGATAATTACTTTAATTATGATTAAATTATAGAGAATAAAATATGAAACTAGCTTATTGGATGTATGCAGGACCAGCTCATATCGGCACATTAAGAATAGCAAGTTCGTTTAAAAATATACAAGCTATTATGCATGCTCCTCTTGGAGACGATTATTTTAATGTAATGAAATCAATGCTGGAAAGGGAACGAAATTTTACACCTGTTACTACAAGTGTAGTAGATAGGCATGTACTAGCAAGAGGCTCTCAAGAAAAAGTTGTCAATAATATTACTAGAAAAGATAAAGAATTTACACCTGATCTGATTATTTTGACACCAACTTGTACGTCTAGTATCTTGCAAGAAGATCTTCAAAATTTTGTTAATAGAGCAAGTATGGAAATCAAAGCAGATGTATTATTAGCTGATGTTAATCATTATAGAGTTAATGAATTACAAGCTGCTGATAAAACATTAGAACAAATTGTAAAATTTTATATTTATAAAGCTAAAAAAGAAAAAAATTTGTTAACTAATAAAACAAAAGATATATCTGTTAATATAATTGGAATAACAAGTTTAGGTTTTCACCATCAACATGATTTGAAAGAGATACAAAAATTGTTTTCTGATCTTAATATTAAAATTAATTTGGTTATTCCTCATGATACCTCTGTTAATCAATTAAAAAAATTACCTGAAGCATGGTTTAATGTAGTTCCATATCATGAAGTAGGGTTGTTAACAGCTCAATTTTTGCATGAAGAATTTAAGATGCCATATATTGATATTACTCCTATGGGAATAGTTGAAACCGCTAGGTTTATTAGAGAAATACAATCTATTTTAAAGAACTATCAGGTTAATGTCAATTATGAAGAGTATATCGATAAGCAGACTAGGTTTATTTCTCAGTCTGCATGGTTCTCTCGTTCAATTGATTGTCAAAACTTAACAGGTAAAAGGGCAGTTGTTTTTGGAGACTCTACTCATGCTGCTGCAATAACAAAAATTTTAGTTAGAGAAATGGGCATTAACGTTGTTTGGGCAGGTACATATTGTAAAAATGATGATGAATGGTTTAATAATGAAATAAATGATTTATGTAAAACAATTATTATCTCTGATGACCATAATTTTATTGCCGATTTAATTGCAGAAACTGAACCAGACGCTATTTTTGGAACTCAAATGGAAAGACATATAGGAAAAAGATTAAATATTCCTTGTGGAGTAATTTCTTCACCCGTACATATTCAGAATTTTCCTTTAAGTTATCGTCCTTTTTTAGGATACGAAGGAAGTAATCAGATTGCAGACTTAATATATAATTCCTTTACTTTAGGAATGGAAGATCATTTATTAGAAATTTTCGGTGGACACGATACTCGTGATACTATTAGTAATACACTATCATTAAAAGATGAAACGAATAAATCATCAATAGAATGGACGGAAGAGGCTAAGAATGAGTTATTAAAGATTCCTGGTTTTGTACGTAACAAAGTAAAAAAAAATACAGAAAAATTTGCTCTAGAAAATAATATTACTAAAATATATTTAGATACAATGTATTCAGCAAAGGAAGCATTAAAAAACCTCAATAAATAGAAAAAGATATTATACTCTAAGTTAGAGTATAATATCTTTTTCTATTTATTGAGGTTTTTTAATGCTTCCTTCTAATTTTTAGTTTCAAAAAATTCAGCATCGACAGTACCATCGTTAGAATTATTTTGAGTAGAAGTATTAGAAGAATTATTTACACCAACATTTTGATTTGATGTATTACTATATAACTTTTGTCCTATATTCATTAATTTTTGTTGTAAAGTTTGACTAATAGATTTCATTTGATCATAATTTTCTTCTTGAATACTTGCCCGTAAATTCTGTACAAGAGACTCAAGATTCGTTTTATCTTCACTAGAAATTTTATCACCAAATTCTTTGATTTGTTTTTCTGTTTGATAAATTAAAGAATCTGATTGATTTTTTAAATCAATTTTTTCACGACGCTCTTTGTCTTCATTAGCATATTGTTCAGCTTCTCTCACCATACGTTCTACTTCTTCTTTAGGAGAGGTTGAAGCACCTGTAATAGTAATAGATTGTTCCTTGTTAGTTGCTTTATCTTTAGCTGTGACGGATAAAATTCCATTAGCATCAATATCAAATGTAACTTCAATTTGAGGCACACCTCTTGGTGCAGGTGCTATCCCATCTAAGCGAAAAGTTCCTAAACTTTTATTATCTTTTGCTAGTTCTCTTTCACCTTGTAAAACATGAATTTCAACATTAGGTTGATTATCTATTGCTGTAGAAAAAATTTCTGATTTTTTCGTTGGAATTGTTGTATTACGTGGAATTATTTTAGTCATAACACCACCTAAAGTTTCAACTCCTAAAGAGAGAGGAGTAACATCTAATAATAATAAATCTTTTACTTCACCAGCTAAAACACCTGCCTGCACAGCTGCACCTATTGCCACAACTTCATCTGGATTAACACTCTGATTTGGTACCTTACCTAAGATATTTTGAACCAATTGTTTAATAGCTGGAATTCTTGTTGAACCTCCGACAAGAACAACTTCATTTATTTTAGTTGCATCAGTTTTTGCATCTTTTAAAGCAGTCTCTACTGGTATACGACAACGATTGATTAAATCAGAACACAATTCTTCAAATTTAGCCCTGGTAAGTGTTTTTTCTAAATGTTTTGGACCAGTATCTGTAGCCGTAATAAAAGGTAAACTAATTTCTGTTTGACTTACGTTTGATAGTTCAACTTTTGCTTTTTCTGCTGCTTCAGTTAATCTTTGTAAGGCTTGTTTATCTTTACTTAAATCTATTCCTTCTAATTTTTTAAACTCACTAATTAACCAATCTACAATCTTTTTATCAAAATCATCACCTCCAAGATGAGTATCTCCAGCTGTAGATAAAACTTCAAAGACTCCGTCTCCGACTTCAAGTATTGAAACATCAAAGGTTCCACCACCTAAATCAAAGACTAATATTGTTTCATTACTTTTCTTGTCTAAACCATAGGCTAATGAAGCAGCAGTAGGTTCATTAATAATACGTAGAACTTCTAATCCTGCAATCTTACCTGCATCTTTAGTTGCTTGACGTTGTGAATCATTAAAATAAGCTGGAACTGTGATCACTGCTTGAGTAACTTTTTGACCCAAATATTGACTAGCATCCTCAGCAAGTTTTCTTAACACTTGAGCTGATATTTCTTCTGGGGCAAATTGTTTTCCTAGAACACTACATTCAATTTTAACATTTTGATTATTATCTGTTATTACCTTATATGAAACTTGTTTTGACTCTTCAGAGACTTCATTACCTTTTCTTCCTATAAATCTTTTAATTGAATAAAAAGTATTTTCAGGATTAATAACTGCTTGTCTTTTTGCTATTTGCCCAACTAAACGTTCACCGTTCTTAGTATAGGCTACTACTGAAGGAGTTGTTCTAGCGCCTTCTGAGTTAGCTATAACAACTGGTTTTCCACCTTCCATTACTGCAACTACTGAATTAGTAGTACCTAAATCAATTCCCACCACTTTACTCATTTTTATAATACTCCTATTAACAGATAAATACATTATTATATACTTAATATAATTGTATAAAATTATCTTTAATATAGTATTTACCGAACATAAAAAATAATAGCTAGACAAAATTTAAATATTAATGTATATTAATATTTGAATTTATAATTTAATTAGTCTTTTTATTAGATAATAATACAATTTTAAGTGTATAACTATTAAATAGTCGTAAATTTTATAAGTAATTTAATATAAGGGAAATAGACAATGATAGGTTTTTTAGGCATTAAACTTGATATGACTCAAATTTTTAATGATCAAGGTTTAGCTATACCTATAACTGTAATTAAAGTAGGTGAATGTTTTATTACACAGATTAAAAAACATAACACAGACGGTTATAATTCAGTCCAAATAGGTTATTATGACAATTGGAATAGCTCTAAAAAGATTAATAACTCAATAAAAGGTCATCTAAAAAAAGCTAATATTTTTGATAAGAATATAAAAATATTTAGAGAATTTAGACTAGAATCAAATAATATTAAAAGTTTAGAATTAGGTGAAAAAATTCCACTAAGTTTCCTACAAGTAGGAGATAAATTAAATGTTATTGGTTATAGTATAGGTAAAGGGTTTGCTGGTTATCAAAAAAGACACAATTTCTCTAGAGGACCAATGTCACATGGATCTAAAAATCACCGTTTACCAGGTTCAATTGGTGCTGGAACGACTCCAGGCAGAGTTTATCCTGGAAAAAAAATGGCAGGTCATCTTGGCAATCGTAAAACTACAATAAAAAACTTAGAAATAGTGCTTATAGATATTGAAAAAAATGTAATTGGTGTTAAAGGTAGTGTACCTGGTAAAACTGGTAATTTAATTAGTATTTATAAATAATATAAATGAATACAACTCATAAAGAAAGATTATTAAATTTATGAATAAGATAATAAATATAAAGCAATTAAATTGGAATAACGAAAATAGAGGAATATACTCATTTGAGTTGAAAATAAATACTGACTATTTAAATAGTATTTATTTATTACATAGAGCCTTTGTAATTAGACATCTAAAAAATAGAACTATTAACGCTTCAACAAAAACTAGGGGAGAGGTTAGCGGTGGTGGAAAAAAACCATGGAAGCAAAAAAAAACAGGCCGAGCTCGGGCTGGATCAATAAGATCTCCATTATGGAAAGGTGGGGGTGTGATTTTTGGTCCTAAACCTCGTCTTATAGAAAAGAAAATTAATCGTAAAGAATGGAATTTAGCATTGAAGTTATGTTTATTAAAAAAAAGTGATCGCATGATAATAATTGAAGATTTTGTGCAAAATTTTGAGACACAAGCTAAAACTAAAGTTTTATATAATGCACTAAAAAGATGGGATATTAATTTAGAAAAAAAAACACTTATTATAATCGAAAATAGTAATCATAATATATTACTATCCAGTAGAAATATAACAAATATTGAATTGATAAATGCTAATAACTTAAATCTAAAGGCTTTATTATCAGCTTTCACAATAATTTTAACTCCTAAAGCTTTAGAGGTGATTAATCAAACTTATCAGGGAAATAGCCATGAAAACAAAATTTGACTATTATGATATAATAAAATCAGCTGTAGTTAGTGATAAAACAACGAAGTTATTACTTAAAAATCAATATACTTTTATAGTCAATAAATATAGTGATAAAAACTTAATTCGTAATGCTGTTGAAAATTTATTTAAAGTTAAGGTAATAAAAGTAAATACTATTAGAGAAAAATATCAATTAAAACGTAGTAAAAAATATATTGAAATAAAAAAGGCAATAATAACTCTAGATAAAACTAGTTCAATTAGCATACTGTTAAATATGTCAAAAGAAGACTAATATAAATATTATATAAAATTTCTTGAATATACTAAAAATAAAATATTATATTATGACCATTAGAACATATAAAGCATATACTCCGGGAACAAGAAATAAAACTGTATCGGACTTTAAAATTATTACTAAAAATAAACCTTGTAAAAATTTAATTATACATAAACATGTCAAATGTGGCAAAAATAATCAAGGTAAAATAACTTCAAGGCATAAAGAAAGAGGACATAAAAAACAATATCGTATTATTGACTTTAAACGTAATAAAAAAGATATTGTCGCGAAAGTAGCATCAATTGAATATGATCCTAATCGTAATGCTAGAATAGCATTACTTTATTATAAAGATGGTACTAAATCCTATATTTTGTGTCCAAACAATCTAGACATAGGAACCCAAATCATTTCATCTACCGATAATAATATAATTCAAATAGGTAACTCACTACCTTTATATAAAATTCCATTAGGTTTAATAGTACATAATATTGAATTAATACCTGGAAGAGGAGGTCAAATAGCTAGAGCAGCAGGCACCTATGCACGCCTTATAGCTAAAGATGAACACTTTGTTACACTTAAATTGCCTTCAAATGAAATCCGATTGGTAAAAAAAGAATGTCTTGCGACTATAGGACAAGTTTCCAATATAGAGTCAAATTTAATTACTATTGGAAAAGCAGGAAGAAGTCGTTGGCTTGGGAAAAGACCTAAAGTTAGAGGTATAGCGATGAATCCTGTAGACCACCCTCATGGTGGTGGAGAGGGGAAGAGTCCTATTGGAAGAAAACATCCTGTAACTCCATGGGGCAAACCAGCTCTAGGTATAAAAACACGTAATATAAAAAAAAATAGCAATAAATACATATTAAAAAATAAGGGTTAGATTATGAATCGTTCGTTATATAAAGGACCTTTTGTAGCTGCTAAACTGTTAAAAAAAATTTATCGTTTAAATAGTGAAAATAAAAAAATAGTAATCAAAACTTGGTCTAGAAGTTCTACAATTATTCCTATGATGATAGGGCATACTATTGCAGTTTATAATGGCAAACAACATTTTCCGATATATATATCGGATCAAATGGTTGGAGAAAAGTTAGGCTCATTCGTGCCAACAAGAAATTTTAAATCTCATATAAAAAATGACAAAAAAATTCGTCGTTAACAATAAAAAAAAATGGTAAAGTTATGCAAAATAATCATTCACAATTTGTCAAATCCGTTGGTAAATATATACATACATCACCTGTTAAGATTAATAGAATTTTAAATCAAATCAGAAATAGAAAATATAAGGAAGCTTTACTTATACTCCAATTTATGCCACATAAAGCAGCTAAAATAATAAATAAAATTGTTAAATCGGCAGGCGCAAACGCTGAACATAATTTTAAGTTTAATACTGATATATGTTTTATTAAATATGCATATGTAGATAAAGGACCTATATTAAAAAGGTTTTCTCCACGCGCACAGGGAAGAATTTATCAAATACATAAACCAAGTTGTCATATTACAATAATATTAGGAACTTAATTTAAAAAAAATATATAAATATAGAAAAAAATGGGACAAAAGATACATCCACTAGCTTTTAGGCTTGGTATTACGCAAAAATATAAATCTGTATGGTTTTATGAAAATAAAGAGTATTCCGATATTCTAGAAGAGGATCATAAAATTAGACATTTTATAGAAAATAAGTTTAAATTGAATGGTATTTCTAAGATTTATATATTTCGAAAAGCTAATCAAATTGAAATAAAAATAGAATCTTCTAAACCCGGACTTGTAGTAGGAAGATCAGGAAATAATCTTGAGTTGTTACGTAGGGAAATGTATAAAATTGTGGCACCTACTGAAAAAATTCGGATTAGTGTCATTGAAGTAATGCAACCAGATGCAGATGCTTCATTAATTAGTGAATTTGTTGTACAGCAATTAGAAAAACGTATTGCTTTTAGAAGGATTATGCGTCAAACCATTAATAAGGCTCAACGAACTAATATAAAAGGTATAAAAATACAAATTTCTGGCAGGCTTAATGGTGCAGAAATTGCGCGCACGGAATGGATAAGGGAAGGAAGAGTTCCTTTACAAACGTTAAGGGCTAATATTGATTATGCATATAAGAAAGCTCAAACAAGCTATGGGATTTTAGGTGTAAAAGTTTGGATTTTTAAAAATGAGATTTTATAATAAATATTTATAAATAGATAGTTTATCAAAATAATTATGCTTATACCAAAAAAAACGAAATTTCGGAAGCAACATAGAGGACGCTTAAGTGGTAAAGCCTGTAGAGGTAATACACTTATTTTTGGAGATTATGGCATACAAGCCTTAGAACCTGTATGGTTAACTTCAAGACAGATTGAAGCTACAAGAAGAACGCTTGTAAGATATATACGTAAAACTGGCAAGTTATGGATTCGTGTTTTCCCAGATAAACCAGTCACTTTTCGTGCTGCAGAAACTCGTATGGGTGGAGGAAAAGGCTCTCCAGAATATTGGGTATCTGTAATTAAACCTGGGCATGTCTTATTCGAGTTAAAAGGAATACCAAAAGATTTAGCTATTGAAGCTATAAAAAATGCTTCATACAAATTACCTATTAAGACAAAGTTGATCTCTAATTTGTTAGAAGGAGAATAAAATGAGTTTTTCTAAAATAGAAACAATAAGAAAGCTAAGTAAAAAAGATTTAGATGAAGAGATTATTTCTGTAAGACAGAAAATATTTGAATTATTATTAAAAAAAGCAACAAAACAAAGCATAAAGCCTCATTTATTTAAACACTATAAACATAGATTATCTCAACTATTGTTAATGAAAACAGAAATTAAAAGAAAAAAACAGTAACAAAAATAAGGTACAAATTTATGTCTGTTAAAAAACAAATTGGAAATGTAATAAGCCATAAAATGAACAAGACAATTGTTGTAGCGGTTAATAAAACAATAATTCACAATAAATATAATAAAATAGTAATACGTACAAAAAAATATAAAGCACACGATGAAAACAATGTATGTAAAATAGGAGATAAAGTAATAATTGAAGAAACAAGACCATTAAGTAAAACTAAAAGATGGAAATTAATAAACATTATTACGTCATCCTCAAAATTAAGACAATTTAAGGGATAAAAAATGATACAGAATCAAACTTATTTAAATGTAGCAGATAATAGTGGTGCTAAACAAATAATGTGTGTTAGAATTTTAAAACCCGGTAATGCAAAATATGCTCATATAGGTGATATAATTGTAGGAGTAGTAAAAGAAGCAATACCAAACATGCCAGTTAAAAAATCAGATGTTGTACGTGCAGTTATAGTAAGAACAAAAAAAATGCTTAGACGTCCTGATGGTATGCATATTCGTTTTGATGACAATGCTGCTATTTTAATAAATCAGGATAATAATCCTAGAGGTACTAGAGTTTTTGGACCTATTGCTAGAGAATTAAGAGATAAAAATTTTACAAAAATTATTTCTTTAGCAATAGAAGTAATTTAATAGTATAGTAAATACTAAAAATATAAAATAATTAAATTAATATTAATATATGAGAAGCCAATTATATAACTATTATAAAAATACAATAATTAAAGATTTGATTAGAGAGTTTGGATACCCAAATATCCATCAAGTTCCTAAAATAACAAAAATTAATATTAATAGGGGCCTAGGGCAAGATGGCCAAAACTCAAAAGTTTTAGAGAATAATGTAAATGAAATTGCATTAATTACCGGCCAAAAACCTATTATTACATATGCCAAAAAATCAATATCAGGATTTAAAATTAGAGAAAAAACACCTATTGGTATAGCTCTAACTTTGCGTAAAGAAAAAATGTATATTTTTTTAGAAAAATTGATTCATCTTGCCTTACCACGGATAAGAGACTTTAGGGGGATTAATACAAGTAGTTTTGATGGCAGAGGTAATTATAATTTAGGTATTAAAGAACAATTAATCTTTCCAGAAATTGAATATGATAAAATTGATAAAATAAGAGGTATGGATATTAATATAGTGACAACAGCTTTAAATGATTTAGAAGCCAAAAGACTTTTAACTCTATTGGGAATGCCATTTAAAAAAAATAATTTGTAATCTTAAGCTGAACGTAAAGGAGTAACAGTGTGGTTAAGGATACTATTTCGGATATGTTGACTAGGATTAGAAATGCAAATCTAGCCAAGTATAGTCTAGTAGAAGTACCTAATACAAAAATTAATTCTAATATAGCTAACGTTTTACAGGAAACGGGGTTTATTGATTCCTTTGAATTTAAACTAGAAGGTAAACTATCTCAACATAAAATTTTAATTTATTTGAAATATAAAGGAAAAATAAGACAGCCAGTAATTACTACGATTAAAAGAATTAGTAAACCTGGTCTAAGAATTTATGCAGGTTGCAAAGATATACCTATAGTCTTAGGAGGACTTGGCATTGCAATAGTTTCTACTTCACAAGGAATTATGGATGATAAGGATGCACGTTCTAATAATATAGGTGGAGAAATATTATGTTATATTTGGTAATCGGAGATTAAATTATGTCTAGAATCGGGAAACTTCCAATTAGTATACCTCAGAATGTAAATGTATATTTAGAGGATGATCATATTGTTGTTAAAGGAAAAGAAGGTGAGTTAAGAAAGCAGCTTGTAGAGCAAATAACATTTACAATAAGAGAAGAAAATAATAGATCCATTTTGATGATTGGTAAAAATAAACAAGATAATAAAACTAATGAGTTATATGGATTATATAGAACATTAATTAATAATATGATAATTGGTGTTAATACTAAATTTAGTAAATATCTTGAACTCAAAGGAGTGGGATATCGTTCTCAATTAGAAAATAAAATATTAACACTAAATCTTGGCTATAGTCATCCTATAAAATTTGTAATACCTGATTCAATTAGTATAGAAATTGAAAATAATACAATTATAAAAATTAGCGGTATTGATAAACAACTAGTAGGAGAAGTAGCATCAAGAATACGTAACTTTCGTTTACCAGAACCATATAAAGGTAAAGGAATTCATTATAGAGGAGAATATATAAAATTAAAAGCAGGTAAAACAGGTAAAAAATAAATATGAAATTTCTACAAAAAAATCAAATTCAAAAAAAGCATAAAAGTATAAGAAAAAAAATTAAAGGAAATAGTGATCGTCCTAGATTATACGTATTTAGGTCAAATCAGCATATTTATGCCCAAATTATTAATGATGAAAACAATAGTATTATTACAAGTAGTTCTACTTTAGATCCTATGGTAAGAAATCAAAATTTTAGTTGCTCTACTTGCAAAGCAGCAGAAATAGTTGGAAAAGTATTGGCAGATAAATGCAAAACAAAAAATATTAACAAAGTTGTATTCGATAGAGGAGGAAGACCTTATCATGGAAGAATAAAAGCTTTGGCGGATTCAGCAAGAGAAAATGGTTTAATATTTTAATTTTTTTAACTAAGGGTAATAGCATGAAATCACAAGAGAATGAATTAGTTGAAAAAGTCGTTCAAGTAAAAAGAGTAACCAAAGTTGTAAAAGGAGGGAAAAAGCTTAGTTTTCGTGTGGTAGTAATTGTTGGAGATCAATTAAATCAGGTAGGTATCGGGATTGGCAAGGCAAGTGAAGTAATTAGTGCAATTAGAAAAGCCATTGCTGATGGAAAAAAAAATTTAATTCAAGTACCATTAAATAAAAACTACTCTATACCTCATATTATTCAAAACTCGTTTGGTGCAGCATCGATTATATTACGACCATCTTCTTTAGGATCGGGAGTTATTGCAGGTGGGGCTGTACGTATAGTTTTAGAACTAGCAGGCGTTAAAAATGTTTTAGCTAAGCAATTAGGTTCTAATAATAAGTTAAATAATGCATATGCTACAATTATTGCACTAAAAAAATTAAAAAGTATTCAACATACATTAAAACATAGAGCTTAATAACCGTAATAATATTATTAAAAATAATTTAATATAATTTATTAAAATGTATAAAAATAATTTTGGTATCTTACAGAGATTAAGTGATTTACAAATTTTAAAAGAAAAAATTATTTTAACTTTGGTTATTCTACTAATATCACGACTGGGTATTTTTATTCCAATACCAGGAATCGATTATGAGAACTTTTATAAAATGAGTTCTAATAACCAAGTTATTAATTTTATTAACATTTTTGCTGGAGGAGGGTTTTCAACAATAGGAATTTTTGCTCTTGGTATAGTTCCCTATATTAATGCTTCAATTATTATACAGTTAATAACTCCGGCAATACCACTTTTAGAAAAATTACAAAAGGAAGAAGGAGATTTTGGTAGACAGAAAATCAATCAAATAACACGTTATCTTACATTAATCTGGTCTATTATACAAAGCATAGGAATAACATTCTGGTTAAAGAAATATTCATTAGAATGGAGTGTAGTATTTATTTTTCAAACAGTAATAATTTTAAGTACTGGTGCAATGTTGATGATGTGGTTTAGCGAAGTAATCACTGAAAATGGACTAGGTAACGGCTCATCTATATTAATAGCGATTAATATTATTGCTAGCTTACAGAAATCATCAAATATTTTGAAATTGAATTTTGAGACAGCAAATTATATACAACTATTTATATTCATAGTTTTGCTAATTTCAGTTTTGATTTTAATAATATATGTACAAGAAGCTACAAGACGTATACCTATAGTTTCAGCAAAACAATTATCAAGAGGTATTATAAACTCCTATAATAATTATTTACCTCTTAAACTTAATCAAAGTGGAATTATGCCTATAATTTTTGCAGCTTCATTAACTTTAATACCTATTTATTTAAGCCAAATAATAATTAACGATAATATTAGAACTAGTATCATGGTATTTAATAATATATTATTTAATAATAAAATTATTTATACCTTAGTTTATTTTACTTTAATATTTTTTTTTAGTTATTTTTATACAAACGTATTTTTTAATACAAATGAAATTACTGAAAATTTAAAAAAAATGGCGGTAAGTATACCAGGAATACGTCCTGGTATAAAAACTAAAATTTACTTAAAAAAAATTTTAAATCGCTTAACCTTTTTAGGTGCATCGTTTTTATCCTTTGTGGCTATTATACCTTCTGTTATGGAAACAATCACCCAAATTTCTTTAATTAAAGGAATTGGAGCTACTTCATTACTCATTTTAATAGGTGTAGCTATTGATATAGTTAAACAAATAAAAACTTATTTATTAAGTAAAAATTATGAACATATGATAGAATAAAATTTGTTTTTCATTTTATTAAAATTATTAAAAGGTGAATAAAATATGAAAGTTAGATCATCAGTAAAAAAAATATGTGATAATTGTCGTATAATAAAAAGAAAAAGAAGAATTATAGTAATATGTATTAATGAAAAACATAAACAACGTCAGGGCTAATTTAATTGTTAATTACATTTAGGAGATAAACTTATGGTAAGAATTGCTGGAATTGATCTTCCAAAAAATAAAAAAGTAGAAATTGCGTTAACATATATATATGGTATAGGCTTACCTTTGGCAAAACAGATTGTTTCTAACGCAAAAATCAATTCTGAAAAAAAAATACAAGATTTAGATGATAAAGAGATAGGAAATATAAGATCTATAATTGAAAAACATTATCAAGTAGAAGGTGATTTAAGAAAATTTGAATCTCTAAATATTAAAAGATTAATAGAGATTGGAAGTTATCGAGGTAAAAGGCATAGGTTAAATCTACCAGTTAGAGGACAAAGAACAAGAACTAATGCTAAAACTTGTAAATCTATGAATAAAAATAAATAATTAAAATGAAATGATAAAAAATATGGTTAAAGAAATAAAAAAAAACATAGTAAAAAAACAAAAGAAAAATATCTATAATGGTATAACACATATAAAATCAACATTTAATAATACAATTGTAAACATAACAGACATAAACGGTAATACTATTGCATGGGCTTCTGCTGGACAAGTTGGATTTAAAGGTGCTAAAAAAGCTACACCTTTTGCAGCACAAACAACAGCAGAAAAAGCTGGTAAACAAGCTTTAGAGAATGGAATGCGACAAACAGAAATAAGAATAAATGGTCCTGGTTCTGGTAGAGAGACGGCTATTAGAGCTTTACAAGCTCTTGGTTTGAAAATAACAACGATTAAAGACATAACACCCATACCTCATAATGGTTGTAGACCTCCTAAAAGAAGACGTGTTTAAAAGAACTAGATATAATTTATATTATTTTATTATATAGTTATATGAAAAAGTTACAAATTGAATGTCTAGAATCTTTTAATCAAAACCCAACAAATCAATATGGAAAATTTATTATTTATCCTTTGAACAAGGGGCAAGGTATTACTTTAGGTAATGCCTTACGAAGAATAATGTTGGCGGAATTAGAAGGTTTAGCTATTTCCAGTGTCAGAATATCTGGAGTTAATCATGAGTTTACAACTGTTGAAGGTGTGCGTGAAGATGTTTTAGACATATTATTAAACCTAAAACAAATTATATTCAAAAGTGATTTAGATGAACCCCAATTTATAAGATTAAAAGTATCAGGTCCGTCGATTGTTACTGCCTCTGATTTAGAATTACCAACTCGTCTTGAATTGGTCGATCCAAGACAATATATAGCTACAATTGATAATAATACTAATTTAGAAATGGAAATGAAAATTGAAAAAGGTAAAGGATATGATTTAGTTAATAAAAAAACAGGAGAAAATTTAACAGAAAGTTTAAAAGTAGATGCAGTATATATGCCTATAAGAAAAGTAATGTTTCATGTTAAAGAACAATACAATGGTGAATCCTTATTATTCGAAAAACTTATTTTAGAAATCATAACTAATGGTAGTATTACTCCTAAAGAAGCAATAATAAAAGCTTCAGACATTTTTATCAAGATGTTAGAGCCACTAAAAGAAATTGCAATTGAATCAGAAGAAGAAAATAAAGATAACAGTCAAGAAGAAAAAAAATTACACCAAGTTCCAATCGAAGAATTACATTTATCTGTTAGGGCTTATAATTGTCTAAAACGTGCTCAAATTTTTTCAGTAGCAGATCTATTAGATTATTCAGAAGAAGACTTGTTAGAAATTAAAAACTTTGGATATAAATCAGCAGAAGAGGTTATGCAAGCATTACAAAATTATTTAGGCATAACATTACCCAAAACTAAAAATAAAACTTAGTTATATATTAAAATAATATAAATAATTAATCTAATAGGACAAATAAAATTCTATTTAATCAACAATGGATAAAATGAATAACACTTATTTCCCTGATAAAACATACTCTGAAGCAAAACATACATGGTATTTAATTGATTGCAAAAACCAGACTGTAGGTCGAATAGCAACTGCAATTGCTAGAATTTTAATTGGTAAAAATCAAAGTACTTATACTCCTTATGTCAACACAAAAATACATGTTATTATTACAAATTCTAAATACGTTATTATGTCTTCAGGAGATAAAAAAATATATTTTAGAAATTCTAGAAGACCAGGAGGTTTAAAAAAAGAAAGTTTTAATCAACTTAAATTACGTTTACCAAATAGAATTATAGAACATGCAGTAAAAGGTATGTTGCCTAAAAATAGATTAGGCAGAATTTTATTTAATAATTTAAAAGTTTATAGTGATAATTCTCATCCACATATTGCTCAAAATCCAATAGAGTATAAACTTGATAAAATAAAATAATGTTAGTATATAAAAAATACAAATAGTAAATAAATAATATGCTTGATAATCATATACAAACAGGAAGACGTAAAAATGCAATTGCGCGTGTATTAATTAAAATGCATAAAAATGAATTTAATAATGGTAAAATCATTATTAATGGTCAAACTACTGAAAAATATTTACAATACAATCCTATATACATAAATAAAATTTATTTACCATTTGAAATAGTAAATTATGATATATCTACTTCTGATCTAATAGTCCAAGTAAAAGGTGGTGGAATTTCTGGTCAAGCAGATGCAATTAGGCTTGGTATAGCTAGGACCTTATGTGAAATTGATACTAGTTATAAACCATTATTAAAACAACATAATTTGTTAACGAGAGATTCGCGCATTAAAGAACGAAGAAAATATGGTCTCAAAAAAGCAAGAAAAGCGCCTCAATATTCAAAAAGATAACAATAAATCATGTATTTAATTGAAATTAATAATAAATAAGATATTGATAAGTTTATAATTAAATTTATGCCCAAATCTAATATTCATCCTAAATGGTATCCAGAAGCTGAAGTCTATTGCGAAGGCAAATTAATTTTTAAAATTGGATCTACTAAACCTAAATTAAATGTTGATGTATGGTCAGGTAATCATCCTTTCTTTACTGATTCTCAAAGGATTATAGATACTGAAGGTAGAGTAGAAAGATTTATAAAAAAATATAAAATTCAAAATAACAATTCAGATATATAAGATATATAGTAAAATATCAAATACATACCCAATATAATATGCCAACTATTCAACAATTAATTCGAGAAGCAAGAAAAGACATAAGAAAAAATATAAAATGTCCAGCTTTAAATGCTTGCCCTCAGAAAAGAGGTGTTTGTACACGTGTATATACTAATACTCCTAAAAAACCTAATTCAGCATTAAGAAAAGTTGCTAGAGTAAGACTAACATCAGGTTATGAAATTACAGCTTATATACCTGGAATTGGCCATAATTTACAAGAACATTCTGTTGTATTAGTCAGAGGAGGAAGGGTTAAAGATCTTCCTGGTGTTAGATACCATATTGTAAGAGGAGCTTTAGATTCTGCAGGCGTTAAAAACCGCAAGACTAGTCGTTCTAAATATGGAGCCAAGAAATTGAAATCTTAGATTATGACTTATAATTATTTTAAATTTTAGGTATTAATTATCAATATTAAATATTATGTCAAGAAAAACTATTGCTAAGAAAAATTTTGCAGATAAAGATCCAATTCATAAAAGTCGATTAGTTAGTATGTTAATCAATAGAATTATTAAAAATGGTAAAAAATCCCTTGCACAAAGAATTACATATACAGCCATGGATTTGATTCAAGATAAAACTCATGCCAATGCTATTAAAATTTTGGAAAAAGCTGTAAAAAATGTTACTCCTTTAGTAGAAGTAAAGGGCAGACGTATTGGAGGTTCAACATATCAAGTTCCTATTGAAGTAAAAACCTATAGAGGTACTAATTTAGCCTTAAGATGGCTAATAAATGCAGCAAAAAAAAGAACAGGAACAAATATAATAGTCAAACTCTCTAATGAGATTATTGATGCTTCGAATTATACTGGTAATGCTATTCGTAAAAAAGAAGAAGTTCATAAAATGGCTGAAGCAAACAGAGCTTTTGCCCACTATCGTTATTAACAACAATTAAAATTTTTTAATATTAAATATAAAAATCAAAAATAGGATAAAAAATATGTCACGTACAAAATTTGAACGTAAAAAACCACATGTTAATATTGGAACTATAGGACATGTTGATCATGGAAAAACTACCTTAACAGCAGCAATCTCAGCTACCTTAGCTTCTACATCTGGTAGCAAAGCTAAAAAATTTGATGAGATTGATGCTGCTCCTGAAGAGAAAGCTCGCGGAATAACAATTAACACTTCGCATGTAGAATATGAAACAGATAAAAGACACTATGCACATGTTGATTGTCCTGGCCATGCAGATTATGTAAAAAATATGATTACTGGAGCAGCACAGATGGATGGAGCAATTTTAGTAGTATCAGCTGCAGATGGTCCAATGCCTCAAACAAGAGAACATATTTTATTAGCTAAACAAGTTGGTGTACCGAATATTGTAGTTTTTCTTAATAAAGAGGATCAAGTTGATGATCCAGAATTACTAGAACTAGTTGAGTTAGAAGTGAGAGAATTGTTAAATAATTATGATTTCCCTAGTGATGAAATACCCTTTGTTTGTGGTTCTGCTCTCTTGGCCTTGGAAAGTTTAACTAAAACTCCAAATCTTAAACGAGGCGAAAATAAATGGGTTGATAAAATATATGAACTGATGGATGCAGTTGATGATTATATTCCAACGCCTCAACGGGATATGGACAAACCTTTCTTAATGGCAATAGAAGATGTTTTTTCAATAACTGGACGTGGAACTGTAGCAACTGGTAGGATTGAAAGAGGACAAATTAAAGTTGGTGATACTATTGAATTAGTTGGATTAAAAAATACTAAGACTACTACTATTACAGGACTAGAAATGTTTCAAAAAACCTTAGAGGAAGGAATAGCAGGTGATAATGTCGGTATTTTATTAAGAGGCATACAAAAGGATGATATTGAAAGAGGTATGGTACTAGCCAAACCAGGTACAATTACACCACATACACAGTTTGAGGCTGAAGTTTATATTTTGAAAAAAGAAGAAGGCGGTAGGCACACTCCTTTTTTTAGTGGTTACAGACCTCAATTTTATGTTAGAACTACTGATGTAACTGGTACAATTACTAGCTTTACTTCTGATGAGGGAGAGACAGTTGAAATGGTAATGCCTGGCGATCGCATAAAAATGAGTGTTGAATTAATTAATCCTATTGCAATTGAGCAAGGAATGAGGTTTGCTATTCGCGAAGGCGGTAAAACAATTGGTGCTGGGGTGGTTTCTAAAATTATTAAATAATACTTAATTATCGTGTAAAAACCTACTTACCTTACTTTATAACATATAATTTTTTATGATAAATATTCAGCCAAATAAAATAAGAATTCGACTTAAAGCTTATAATAGTAATTTGTTAACAATTTCATGTGAAAAAATTCTAGATACTGCACGTAAAAACAATTCTATAGTAGTGGGTCCTATTGCTTTGCCTACAAAAAGAAAAATTTATTGTGTCTTAAGATCTCCTCATGTTAATAAAGATTCAAGAGAACACTTTGAAGTACGTAAACATAGGCGTATAATTGATATATATCAGCCTTCTATAAATACTATAAATGGATTAATGAAACTTGATATACCTGCGGGTGTAGATATTGAAGTCAAACTTTAAAAAGGGAAATAAAAAAGAACGAA